CACACACACACACACACACACACACACACACACACACACACACACACAAGCAAATCAGATCAAATGAGCCACAAACATCTACTGAAGCACAACTTTCCTTCATATTCCAAGCCAATAAACAATAACAGTCAACAGCGATAACTTTACAATCCAGCTTTTTTTGTTTGCTTTTTTTAAAGAGCTCAGAACACAGCATTTTAAATCAGATTTATCTCAATAACTGAACTCTTTCCTGAAAACATTTTGCACAATTCCCATCAGTGCCGTGAAATTTATCATTTCAATCAAGACCCGAAGCATAAAAACACACTTTTCTACGTAAAAGCTCAAAGCTGCTGTAATGGTTTTACCAACAGGCTACATGTTGGATTGAGAAAAGTACAAATCAAGCACACTGTGGGAGGAAAACAATACTTTAAAAAAATGTCGCCTGAACTCGTGTGACTTGGGTGGTCACTCAGTGCTTCGAAGTAACATCGACACAAACAGCTTCGCGCTCCTTGAGAAAGTCGCAGCAGCTCTGTTCATCAGTCCAGCTCAGTTTCTTTAGTGTTGGAGTCTGAATTATGACAGAGATTTTGAAAACATGTTTAAGTGGCGGTGAGTCACAGACCAGCAGCTGAGCATGGTAAAGTTAGACAAAAACGAGCTCTGCTATAAAAAAGATCTTTAAAGGTTTCAAAAGTGTCTGTCTCTTAAAATTAAATTAAAAAAACGAACTATTTGACAAATTTTTGTTCTTTTCTAAAAACAACTTGTTGCTCTAAGTTAAGATTGTGCTTTTGAACACACAACCACGCAGTCCAGCTGTAACGCTCCTGCGCTCACGTTACTCCGTCATCTTTAAGTGCATCTGTACTCCTGTGGTGACGGCGATCCTCTCCGCCTCCGTGGTTCATCGTCTACGTGTGAGATGAGCTGGAAGCGCTCGACGGGGCTTCTGATGTAACAGCTTTATTCCTTGGCTGTTCTGTTTTTTAACAGTAATAAATAAATAAATACTCAAAGGGTTCAGCTGCATAAGAAGGAGCTGGGTCTGAGCGTGCTCACTGACCCCTGTCTGGTCCACGGTTCCTGCAACACTCAGTCTATTCTGTTGCCACAGATAGTGAATCGGTCTATCTCCAACAAGTCCTTCTTGGGTGTTCTGTGTCTGAGTGCGTCTCCTTCCAACCCCGTGTCGGTGTTTATGATTTTATCATCGTCCTCCTCATCCGGCGTCGTCAGGAACGTGTCCGAGTCGCTCTTGGGGATCGTGGGTGCGGTGGTCTCCGCCGTGTCTGTGGGCTGAGCGACTTCAAACGCCTGGGATAATCCTGCTTTGTCTGCTGTGGGCTCTGTTTAGAGAAAAGTAGATTTTGTAAGGAGAAATAATAAAATAAAATAAAAYACATGGACGATTTAACGACAGAGGACGGCTGGTTAACCTTGATGCAGCGCAGTGGGGACGGATTTGTTCCGGTGAGCGCGGGAGTTGGCCCGGCTGGAGGCGACGGAGGGAGGAGGGTCGAAGAGCTTCTCCTCCATGTTGGCGTCTCTGACAAACGTGCAGGACGTCCCGAGGAGAACGATGCTGTTGAGCACCTTCAGAGTGATCATCCTGCGCACAAAGACACGTTCGAAACGTGTCAGCACAGTGCAAAGTTTCTTCAACAGTTAAGATGCTGCGTTCGGTATTTACCCCAAGTAAAACAGCAGCACACACATGAAGGAGAGAGAGCCCTGGATCCGCACCGAGCTGGTCACTACTTTGATGAGCTGGAAAATATTTCACAGATTTTACTGCACATGCTGTAAACATTAATTACACATCATTTTAATAGAGCTGAAAAACATGGCTGACCAGCAGAGCTAAGGGAAGAGGGATGAAGCCCATCCTTCTGGACACTGAGTCGCTGTAGTCTGTGTAAGCCTGTGGACGTATTTAACACTTTGTTACTAAAAGCATCAACATTCTACTTCTTCAACACTTTACKAAACACACCTTTTGGACAAATTATGTCAAAATCAAAACATCTATGATGAGAAATTCTGACAAGGAGTTTTAGAAGCTCTGGCTGTATTTGKTCCCGGTGGACAATGATAAAGCCACATGACATGACTCATATTCTAAGTGTTTATTTTAACTATAAACTAGTAGTTTCTTAAAGGAATCCATGATTAGTTGTAACATTAAACTTTATTTGATAAACATTTATTTTAACTGTATAATAAAGACGGTAAAAAAACTGAAGGCTGGTCAGTTTTTATAATTTTTAACCTAAAAGTTTAAAAATATATTACACGGACTGAGCCATTTTATTTACACGCAAAGCATTCTGGGTAAATGATGACATGGATAGGAGCGTTGACAGAGAGGAGAAGGTAGAAATGACTCAGTCTGCAACTGAAAATATGGATGGAGGACCTCAGTTTAACTTGTTAGTTTGTCGCGCTAGCGCTGAGCTAATACATATAAGGCAATATAATGTCAGCACAAAAGGCTAACAGGCTAAGCTGAGGTTCTTCTTCCATGAAGCAGCTCTGTTGTCCTCCATCCATATTTTCAGTTACAGGCTGAGTCATTTCTACCTTCTCCTCTCTGTCAACGCTCTCTGGTTTCATTTAAAAGAGCCGATCATCAGATATTGTCCAAGATTAACCTTCAGGGTGGATATAGCTCGCTAGCAGCCTCGCACCGAGGACCTATCCATGTCATCATTTACCCAGAATGCTTTGTGTGTAAATAAAATGGCCCCRTCCGTGTAATATATTTTTAAATATTTAAAAACTAAACAGCCTACAGTATTTTTACAGTCTTTATTTTACAGTTAAAAATAAATGTTTATCAAATAAAAGTCTAATGTTACAACTAATCATGGATCCCTTTAAATATTGTTGTGTTTTTATTTTCTCTCTTCTTATTATTTTATATTTCATTGTTTTACACTGTAATTTATTGCTATTTGGCTAAATTATAAAGCACTTTGGTCAAATTGTGTTTTTAAATGTGGTGTATAAATTCATTAAAAGTGATAAATAGTTGTTCAAGAACCTGTATCTGTGTCTGAAAGGTATACAGATGTAAAAAAAAAGTGTCATTTAGTCCGATCTGCAATTGTGCAGCAACTCTAAGCGGGAGATGTGCTGCACGTGCAAACACTTTATTCTGCTTTAAAACAGGTTATGGTGCCTTAAAAATGACACAAAACTCCAGAAACTGTAACTAATTCTCTGCTGGTAAAGATGACAGCGACTGAGCTGCTCGGCTGAAACGATTTATTGTCAGAGATTATTTCACTCACGTTTTTCTGCCGGCTGCTGACGAGGTCAAAGGCCAGGCTGGCTCTGTATTCTCCGTACACCTGGGGATACGTACAGAGCGACGCAACACATGTAAGAAACTTCAAAGGAGAAAACCAGAACGCATTTTTTTCCTCCACAGTTCTGGAGATAAAAGACTCTTTGAACGTTTGTGTCAGTTTGCAGCATTTAGGCCCAAACTGCACGACAAGCCAAATAAAGAAAGGTGAAAACAAACTCACGTCGGCGCTGATGTCGTTGAATTTGGTGATGAAGGCGTGCTTCACAACATCCACTGCGACCTCGGAGAATATCACCATGATAACATCTGGGAAGAGGACCCACAAGTGGTCTGGAAACACAAGRAACGATGTTCAACCAAAATAAGGTTTAGAAGATAAAAGTGAGCAAGGGAATGTTCCTGTTTTAGCTACTATAGAAAACAAACCTATGAGGAGTACTCTTATAGAAATGTGTATTTGTGTGGATAATATGCAACCGTCAGTGCGCTTCGCAGTGAATTTACCAGGGTTCCATGAAAACTGCTCCATGTTCCTGAGACAGACGATGAGCAGGAGGATGTAGTTGGTGAACCTCTCTTTTATGTCTGAGAGAAACAAACAAATCAATCCTGGATTAACCTACTTTATCCTCACTGCAGCCGAGCTCGATTCCAGAAATTTACCTTAGATTGAATCGAGTTTAAAAGCCGAGCATGAAAATACCAGAAAACATATGCTCTTTTTTTGTTTTGTTTCATTTTGGTAAAATAGTATCCTTGTTCTAATGTATTCATTCACACTTACCACTATTAGACATCTGGAAGAGGTTGTTCTTTTCAAACTTCTTGAACACGCTTCCTTTGATTTCCACAAACTACAAAAGGATGACAATTTTTTTTTTACTCGTCTCGTGCAACACTTTGAATAAAATAAATAAATCTGTGCGTCATACTCACGTTGTTTGACATCATTATGGTGAGCAGAGACTTGTTGTGGGAGTTGAAGGCGACATTTAGAGTCGTGGCCTGAACCATGATGAGGATGGCGTGAAGAACTGGACCGATACATGCTGAGGAAAAAYATACTTACGAGGAAAAGCTTTCTGTTGTGTTTTGATTCAGAAATGTAAACCTTTTAATTACCTTCTATTAGTTTCAAATGTACAGTTACAACTTATTAAATAA